CTGCGTGAGCTATTTTCTTTTATATGTATACTTAGATTTTTAATTGAATTTATGTGGTCGCATATAGTTGATAATATTGATAGCGCTTTTCTTATTTTTGTAATATACGCTGAAGACAAGTTGGTGTAGTAGTAAAATTATCAAATGATGTTGTTAGTATCATTTTAGTCTTTTCAATTTATCATCTGTACGTAGCGAGATTGATACCGTTTGACAAGGGATTAATTAAATAAATTACTTGTATAACTGTAGCGAACTGTCGTAGCGTTTTCGAAAAAGTTACGTATTGTTTACTCCTGATGTTTCTCGCTATAGCTCCTTGATGATCTTGAGTAATTAGTCAGATTGAGCTGCTAGCACTCGCTTAAGTCTATGATGATTCTGATGTAGATCCATGTCTCATTCATTGTAAGAGATAGAAGTTCTTTGGGTAAATTAAAGTTTTCGTGTTGACTAGTAGTAATTTCGGTAATATAAACCTTTGTACTCGTTTAGTAAGAAATGGGTAGAAAGAATGTCCATAAAATGTTGACCAACTGCAGAGTAATAAAAATACAGTAATTCAGTTTACATTGAAATTCAAGATTTTTTTATTTATTCACTTACAGAATGCATTATTCCAGCTTCTTATTTAATCTCTAATCTTTAGACTGTAAGTACTGTATGTATGCAGTATACGTGTATGTCATTAAAAAATTTAGATCCCATTTATGTCAAGAAATGAGCATGTCACAAGAGTCTGTTATGTACTTTTAATTTAGGTAGTACCCTAAGTAGAGTAATGTTTACACTTATTACAGTGCATAATAGAATTAGTTAGTTTAAATTATGAAATTAATTACACTGCTAGACGTTGTAAATTCGTTACTTTTTCAACTTTAAATCTTAAAACGTATTCCTGCATTTAGTAAGGGACCAACTCAATTTATTAGCGTCAAACCTTTTTTTAAAGTGCTTAAATATTGATTTTATCCTTTCTGATGATGATCACCTACTACAATTGCTAGTATACGCCTAATTACTCTGAGCACTCAGTATATGTACACAGTACGCATACAAAGTATCAGTTGCGGCGATGGTTTTTTCCTCCTATCCATTGGGAGATGAAGACAATCATTAATTTGTAGACTCCAATTGGAGTCAAATTTCTGTTGCGGTAAGCAGTACGTATTCTAGGCACGTATTTTTAGGCGCTACCGTAGAGCCTTTAATTGTAAATACAGTAATTGCATACTTTAAAAATATGAATGATAGTAAGAAGTGAAACAGCGCGCTTGCACTTACTATTGGTACTGAGGTAATACTTATTATAAGTATACAGTATAGTAATGATTGATTTGCAAATGGATCGGCTAATTATTTCATGAAAAATTTCATGGCAGCGATGTCGCGTTTACTGTGCAAGGTCATCTTAGAAAAGGTTGTATTTTCAAGGCGATGGCTTGACATTTCTACGGTATGACATCATGTTCAAAGTAAACATAACATATTTACTGATGTTGTATGCATTGTATATTTAAGATCATACTTTCACTACACGACATCACTTATTTCGACAGTGGAAAATCCACCTCCCTAAAAAATATAAATAAACTGATCCCTTTAAAAAACTATTTCTACGCTATAGTCATGGTGACAGCTGTAACTGTAGACCGGGGGGTCTTCATTAGTACTTTTTTATATCCCGATCTGGAGACATCTGAAGTTGATCATTTTGCATGATCGCAAAGCCCCAACTACAATACTGTAATGCCTAATGAGTCAAGGAGTAAGTGTACCCAAGACCCGCCAGTTGTATCAAAAGTGAAGCACTTTTCATACAGTAGCGGAGTCTAGACTACGCCATACACTTAACAAATCACACGTGCTGTACTGTTCTACTCGTACCAATGATTGATGGTTTGTTTAAGAAACTCAATAATGCAGTAAAATCCCCCCAAAAACATCAAGTGCCAATCAGTTCCAGTAGACCGATCGACGGAATCGCTAATAACAAATAATCACGTACTTACAGTACATCCTGTACAGTACCATCATTTCAGCGACTGGTACCAATCATGGATGGTTTGTATAAGAAATTTGAAAGAAACAACATAACTCAATAATGCAGTAAAATCCCCCCCCCCAAAACATCAAGTGCCAAGTGAAAAGTGAAGCACTTTTCATACATTAGCGGGGTCTAGACTACGCCATACACTTTACAGATCACACGTGCTGTACTGTTTTACTCGTACCAACCATGGATGGTTTGTACAAGAAATTTGAAAGAAACAAAATAACTCAATAATGCAGTCAAATCCCCCCCATAAAAACATCAAGTGCCAATCAGTTCCAGTAGACCGATCGACGGAATCGCTAATAACAAATAATCACGTACTTACAGTACATACTGTACAGTACCATCATTTCAGCGACTGGTACCAATCATGGATGGTTTGTATAAGAAATTTAAAAGAAACAACATAACTCAATAAATAATGCAGTAAAATCGCCCAAAAAAACATCAAGTGCCAATCAGTTTCAGTAGACCGATCGACGAATCGCTAATAACAAATAATCACGTACGTACGGACGGTACAGTGCATCCTGCACAGTACCATCATTTCAGCGACTGGTACCAATCATGGATGGTTTGTATAAGAAATTTAAAAGAAACAACATAACTCAATAAATAATGCAGTAAAATCGCCCCCAAAAAAACATTAAGTGCCAATCAGTTCCAGTTGACCGATCGCTAACCACAAATCATCACGTACGTACAGTACCATCATTAGCTATTGACGTACTGTACACTGTAGCACAGATAGAGTACACTACAGTAACATACAGTGCAATGTGCTACAGGTGCTGGAGTGTACTGTAGTATCGATCGCGCAACAACAGTTTATAAAGCTTGTTGGGATTGCAGGTTAACGTAGTTTGCCAAGATCGATTGCAAGTGCATTGATCCGGTTGGCTGGAGATCGTGTAAAGTGCCGAAAATTCTTGGTATCAGCAGATCTGAAAAGCAAAATGGAACCAAAACTGCGCTCACCTAATGGTAGTATCTTCACCACCAGACGAATCATCTTAGTTATACTTGTTGTCGTGGTTGGTGTTGTTGGTGGCTTAATTGGATGGGCTATCGGTAGAGGACAAACACCTCATAACACTGGTGGCACCGCAATGTCCACTGCTGCTCCGACCAATGCTCCTGTTACCAATTTGGATGAAATGCACAAACAAGTTATTGATGAGATGAAAACGGCAAACATCGACAAGCATATCAAGTAAGTAAAAACCAAGCGACAATGAATATTCAACTATCCTCCATCACTGTAAAAACACCCTGATAGTTTGCAACGTCTTCCAGTCGATGCAATCATGGCTGCATGACAATTGAGTTGGGCTATTTTTTTTTTCTTCTATCAATTAATTGATCAATAATGCATGAATTAGAATCATCAGGCTTATTCACATTTTTATTGCCTTTGTGCTAGAAAGTATACACTCGTATTGTAATAGAGTAAGTTAACTTGATCAAAAATGCGGAGCTTTGCAATAGATAAATAAGAATAACTTGTACAAATTGTGTCTTAGCTAAATTGGAAAAAAACAACAATAATGCCATTCTGAATGCATACTTACAATATGAAGTCAAGTCAATACTACTAGTCTCAGCTGTAAAATTGCAGCTTGAACTCGGCGGGTATAAAATTGGACAGATTGAGAATGCACGCTTGCTTACACAATCGGGTGGGGGAGCGACGTTGCTAGCCGCCTCTGCTTCAGCGGGACCAATATGCTTAATGCATGCTGCTGTGCATACCATCCAAACGTTACAGAGCAAAAATAATATGCAATAGGCTTTTCTAATCAATCAGAAGATATCATCAGATTTGCAGCGAGTTGCGGAGGCAGGAAAGCATAGTTGTTTTGCTTTGCGATGTGATTCAACTCGGTCACTTTACAGTTCATTACTGCTATTTAAAATGATAATACTAATAAAATTGCTTAGTTCTGTATGAGTCAATGTTTGAAGTGATCACGCATTAATTAGGTAGCTGTGCTTTGCCATCATTCTTGACTCAAATCGCGCAACATTTTTAAAACTGGACAGTTCGTAGCCAGTCGAGTACTTTAAAAGCTTTATATAAGATTTTATCCAATCGCTATTTGCAGTAATGATTTACGCGTCACATAATCTATCCTTGAATTTCTTACATTGCTGTATTTCATATTTCTCTGCCAGTGTCTATTTTTTTCTTGCCTCACTATGAACATTCTAAATCGGTGTTGTTAAATTGCATGCAATTAAAAAAAGAAGCCGCGAATTGGTACTACAATATTCATCACCAGTTGGCTGGCGTAGCTATCTGTATTTTTTGAATCATCACCTTTAGGGTATATCTTATCATTTTTATCGTTTCGTCCATAACGGCTGTGGTTATTCAACTAGCCTTTTAACTGTTGTTGCGAAAATGTTTACTTGTAAAGTACTTCATTTTTCTTGACTGAGTAAACGTACAAATCAACAAAGTTATGTGAACATTATAAAGTACCACAGGTATTTTGTATCCCCACTCCGCTACAACACATACGGGACGAAAAGCACCCACACACAAAAAAAGGCATAGTCCAGTACAGTATATTTCTTGGGCGCAAAGTTTGATGTCCATTGCCTAATATCCACCCGAAAGGTAAACTGGTCCAGTGCGTCACGAAAACGATATCCACGGATAGATTGTTTACATAAAATGCAGTACGTACAGTACATCAGCCATCTACATGATGACATTAGATGCAGCTATTTCTCGCTAGGTTGGATTCAAAAATGCAAAGACCCAGCATGATATGGGCAGGGTCGCAAAGTAAATTGCCAATACAACTACTAAAATTGGATAAAAATATCCGTGACTGGGAAAGGAAGATGCCACTTTTTATGTAGCAAGTACTGAAAAAAAAAAAACATGTTTTATTTAATTGTTGTGTCCAGTGGGTTATTTCTATGCCAACGTTATTGTTGTTCTGTCCAATGTTTTGGTCCACCTGTACTCAAGGATGGACCACTAGATTTCTTTCTAGCGATGTAGAACTAAACTCATACTATAAAACAGAAGGAAAAGCCTTCCCATCCAATTTTTCCTCTCATGATTGCTAGTGACATTCAACAATCCAGACATTCGATTACAAAAGTAGATACGCAGTATTTGTATTGTCATGTTGCCTCCATTGTAGCCATGCAACGCCTTATAGTATTGACCATCAGTCCAGGCCGAAACGATGGGAAATGTTACTGTTGCTATTATAATCGACATCGAAAAGAGAAAATCAAAAAGATATTGTACAATAGCCACTATGAACAATGGCTATAGTCTGGTGAAATGATGCTATGTCGGCATGCCACAATATACAGAAGTACTTTGTACTTTCTATCCTGTGTAAATTATGAAATATTCATATGCAAACTTTATGTACACACAAGCCATGAAGATGGCGTGTCAAATTTGTCTTAAATAGCTACGTAAACAATGCGTCAATGGCCAGCTTGATTACAGTACTAGGGTGCTATCCACGCTAATAAGGACATGGTTTGAAAGTTGATGGTGCTCTCGTATGGCGTGTATTAGCAAGAATCTCGGCAAAATTGGTTTATTTTTTTTTTTAAAAGTGTCCCTGGTAGTTGTGCCACTAGCCATAGGTGTCTGTGTAAACATGATAATTTTAGAATGCACCCAATACTCCGACCAGTCAGTAGACGGCTTAAATACGCTAGTGATTTATTGATCATTTACAAAATGGACAAAACAAGCATGTTTTGGACTACTACCAGTATTGTTGATTCTGGGTATAAATGTGAACCTTGAACTAATGAACTCGTTGAATATATTACATTACACGAGTAGACTGTCCGTTATTATACGTAGTATATATCAATGTCAAGCTTGAAGATTTGGAGTTCTTCAACTAGCGCCTAATGAATTCACTACCTACACTGTACAGTACTTTTGCTTAGATGTGGCAGCATAATGACTTAGTCATTCAGATCATAATGTACTAACCATTCTCTATTGACACAGTAGATTAAGTAATGTAGTTGTACGGCAGTCAACAGCATCTTTGTCAATATGAGTTATTCTTTTTTAAACCATCGCAGTATTGGAGTAAATTGCCTGGAGACTTCAACAAGAAAAGAATTACCGGTTACATCATACTCTATTATAAAATGAAGTGCAGTCACATGTTTTCGATGCCTGGAGGAAATTACAGGGGTGTTCTACTCTAATGAGTTTAGCACTAAAACATGTTATGCATGACCCCCTGTACGGTTAAAACGAGTTAAAACTGATCTCTAGTTTTCAACTTCACGTAATCACGCTGCATTCCCCATAACGTCTGTCATGGCGTTAAAACAGTAGGTTTTCAATGCCTGAAGAAAGTATAACGCAATTCGCTAACTACCGTATTTAGCTCTTTTATCACTTCGCTTTCTGATAATGTCTTGCATGGTGTCTTAGCCTGATGGAAGTAGACAGGAGTAAGTGACTATTATAATCTACAGTAATTACTCCTGCCCATTTCTGATAACTTCCGACATGGCGTTTTTAGAAAATAATAAAAAAACTGCAGTCACACGCTGACAATTCCTGAAGGAAGTACGTCCAACAGGAGCGCACTACTTTCAAACTAATCTTTTCAATTATTCAATATTCCTGATAACGTATGTCATAGCATTTTAAGTCTGCTTGCTCTCTTTTACTCGGAAGAGTCCTTATTACAGTATTGAGTATTGCAAGGGATAAGAAGATAGGAGATCACTTTTATCCATTATTTTACATAAAGTTATTTACTTCCAACGACGTAAACGTTAATATCAGAATAATACCAGTACAATGATATAAATAAAGAAACTTAACCTGGATTGGTGCAAATCATGGCATGTTTAATGAATTGATGCTAATAATTAAATAATTATAATTATTTATTCAACATCGTTTGTTGATCCTTGACAATCTAATTTAGTGGAAACTATTTACAGTTACCACAGTAACTTCTGAGACTTGTGTGACAGAAGGAAAAGTCTCTGCAGTCGCACTTGAAATCCTAAATGATCAGAATGGCATTATAAACAACTAAAAGAACACTTTCAAGTCGTTTATCATCATAAATTTCCGATCGTATTTTCATCATTATGTAGTTTTCATGATTGTACCATGAAGTTAAGTTAAAATATACATGCTCAAGAGTAAAGTTGCCTAAGTTTATGGTACACTATGTTGTTAATTCATGCATTAATGCCGCTTAGTTACTGTAGTTGAATTTCTTCTAGTAAGAATTTCACTCCTGCTAACTATCATGTTATAATTATATATAGTAGGCGTTACAATCTTAATTATAATCATATCTCAATGTTGAAGTTCATAAAGTAACTAAATTGTACTTTATTCAATCAGGTTTCTGTCAGCTAAACCCCATATCGCTGCAAGTCCTCGCCAATTAGAGCTTGCTAATTACTTTAAAAACCAATGGGAATCTTACGGACTTGATAAAGTTGAACTTGTCAAATACAAAGTTCTTCTTTCAAGGCCTCGAACGGATGTATTAACCAAAGTTGGATTGAAAGGTAACAATCGACGATAGAAGAAAATTAATTGATAAAGAGCAGATTCTACTATATTCCCCGATTATTTTAATATATACGTATATATATATATATATATATATATATATAAATCAATTAAAACATCTCCAACCTTAATTTTGCACGTACATAGATAGCTCCAATATATTCCAATATCAAGCTACGATCAAAGAGAAAGTTCTGCATCCAGATGAAAACGATCCAAATATCGTTTTACCATTTAACGCTTATGCTAAAGAAGCAACCGTTGATGGAGAATTGATCTACGTCAACTATGCCCGCCAAGAAGATTTTGTTAAACTAGAAAATGATTTTAAATTGACATGTAAAAACAGAATTGCTATCGCCCGTTACGGCAAGATCTTCAGAGGAGATAAGGTAAATTTTTCATATAAGATTACGACGACATTGATTTCTAAAAATTCCTCACGGATCATAGAATAGTTGTTCTTACCGGATGATTGTATAGTAATTCAGCTCTGCTATGTGTCTATACCCAATGGTAGGCTAGGATTGCGGAAAGATTCAACTGCAAAGGATTGATTTTATACTCTGATCCCGCTGATTATGCCCCACCTGGTTATAAGAAATATCCTGATGGATGGTTTCTACCAGAAACTGGCGTACAACGAGGCACTTTGTTCTTGGGTGATGGTGATCCACAGACACCTGGCTATCCTTCTATTGGTAAAGACCTAACAATGCTAGATTTAGCAGTGGTTTTAGTTGAGATATTCGAACGATCGAGAATTCCTTTCTAACTTCTTAACTGATTGCAGATAGTGCATACCGATATCCTATTGAAAATCTTACCAACGTTCTACCAAATATCCCTGTCCAACCATTGAGTGCCTCCGATGCCGCACCTTTGTTACAAGCTATGAGTGGAAATGAAGTTCCAGCGGAATGGAGAGGACAACTCGCCAATACCACGTACAAATTTGGAGGAGCATTTACTGGTTCTAGATCTGGATGGTATGTGTCTTTATGTCGCTTTTTTACATTCCAAGAAACATGCTCAAGATTTGATACGCTTCATAGTGTTACTATACCAGATACTTTTAAGAGAAATTCTTTTAAAAGTTTCTGGTAATACGTGCTGTAATTTATTGGACGATCTATTGGCGGTTGAATATCCATCGCCATGTTGTACAGTACTAGTATGTTTCTTGCTAACTCTAACACGTACCAGAAGGCTTACCTTACAAACAGTGATATCACTAGAATAGTTAGGGTTAGCGTTAGTGTTAGTTTTTTTAGCTTTTTTTTGTAGCAAAAGAACATGCTGAACATTTATTAAAGTAATTTTTCTTTCTACTTGATCACAAAAGGAAAGCGCATTTAGAGGTTCACAACAAAATTGAAGCCTTGGATGCTTACAATGTTATTGGTACTATCAACGGAAGATTCGATCCTGATCACTATGTACTTGTTGGTAACCACCGTGATAGCTGGATATTTGGTGCTGTTGACGCTTCAAGTGGTGGCTCAAACATGCTAGAAATTTCACGTGCTATCACCACCGTCATGCAGAAGACAGGTCGGTATTAGTGATGCGTTATTTCATTGTATAAATTAAAATTTCTTCCAAGGCTAAATACTTACATAACTTCTGTTATCTTCTTGCGTAAATGATCAGGATGGCGCCCTAGAAGGACAATGAAATTCTGCAGCTGGGGTGCTGAGGAATACGGTTTGATTGGTTCTACGGAATGGGTCGAGGTGAATTAGATAATATCATATAGTTATATAACGTTAAAAAAAAACCAATAATAGCCATCGCTGTAGAAAGAATGTATTGCTGCGGTTCTAATACATGCTAAAAACTTTCTTAAGTATGCTTATTATTATTAACGGTTTATAAAAATTATCCACTTATTATATTAAACAGGAGAATGAAAAACTATTGGTACGAAATGCTGTATCGTACGCCAACACTGACATAGCTGCTCAAGGTAAAGTGACTAGGAATAGAATAAAGGATTTTCGATAGAAAGGCCTGCAATCTTTATAACCTGTTTTGTTGTATTATAGGTAATTTCACTTTGTATGCCGCAGCAAGTCCAATTATGAAACAAGTTCTTTATGATGCTGCTAAAATGGTACTGTATAAGTATTGATATAGTTGCCAAGATAACATTAATATATTCAAGTAGAGCGTATGTTATTGTTAAATGTATGTTGACCATCCCGCCATATTCAACTTCTGCTGCCAAAATAGACTCCTGATCCAGATGATCCAACTAAATCTTTGTATGATACATGGTTGCAACGTAAACCTTCAGCTGATAAATCACAACCATAGTAAGTATTGAATATAAACATAGTTTCATCGGATGCTATCATTGATCTAGTCTTTATAGCTTGGTATTGTATACAAATGAGGAATGGAAACTAACTACTTCTCTTTATGCTAAAGCGTTGGAAGCTTGGGAGCTGGAAGTGATTATGCACCATTTATGCAACGAATCGGAGTGTCATCTGTAGATTTTAGCTACGACTTCGATAGCGTAAGTCGAAGTTATAATCACATTGCATTCAGATATTGTCTTCGCTATATCAAAATTTTATTTCTTGTCTTTTTCGTCTTTAAATGCAGGGTTACTACCCAGTTTCTTCCTATCCAGCCTATCATACTATTTATGATACTTACGATTACCTAAAGAAGACTATCGATCCTGACTTTAAATACCATTTAGCTGGAGCCCGAGTTTGTTGCAATTTGGCTTTAGCTCAAGCTGACGATCCAATCCTTCGTATGAGTGTGACTGAATATGCTAAAACCTTAACACTTTATTTTAACCAGTTAGCTAGTGCGTACGAAGCCAACTTAAACGCACGTAACATCAAGCTAGGTAATAATTTATAATTGACATTATATATCCATGGTGATTTAGCTTCGAAATACAACTTGGTGTTTTTGCCATCTAATAACCGTAGAAATCACTTTTTTGCGTGTCTTTAAATGTAGATAACTTGAGATCTGCAATCAATAATTTCACCGTTGCAGCTAATACATTCTCTAACTTTATTAAGACGATAAGGGAAGACCAGTAAGTTTAAACGTAAAATACAATAATGGATTTCTGTATTGATTTCACCGAATTAATTTCTCAGTACTTTTAAAATGTAAAACGTTCAGCTTAAACAATGTAAACATTGCGTATATTTTGTAGACCTTGGCTTAGGAGACGCGTCAATAATAGATTAATGCAACTGGACAAAACTTTCATTAATCCAGCTGGATTACCAGGCCGACCTCTTAAGAAACACATCCTTTTCGCTCCAAGTATGTTCAATACTTATGGAGGAGCTAAATTTCCCGGTATTACCGATTCATTTTTCATGGCTCAAACTAATGGTAATTGGGGTGAAGTAGAGCAACAAGTTGCGATTGTTGTCTTCCACGTTCAAGCTGCATCAAAATCTCTTAGCTTTACTCCTTAACGTGTTTGTTATTTGTGTAGTTGCTCAACATTAATGATTACCGCTGATGTTAACTTTTAGTATGGTTTAATTAGCTTGATGAGAATTTCTATCGCCTGTACGTACGTAATCAAGTGCTGGTCACAAATGTGTTTATCCGGCCGTAAAAGCCATAGTAGCAGTAGCTAAGTTAGTTCGCTCTCAGTATCTTTTTAATTGCGGTCTGATTTAATTGAGTCAAGGTATCTTTCTTAAGATATTTTTGTTGTCTGTCATGTCCTCTCCTATACTATGTTCGTATCTGATAATGTCTTCATACCTAGCGTGATATTTTACTTTATCCGAATGTTGCTTTGAAGTGTTGGTGATTAGCGGTATTACACTTGATTGAATAGGTTAAGTGATACTGTTTCAGTTTCAGCTTAAATTCATTAATTTTAATTCTTGTTTTTAATTTGCTTTCATTTAATATGGTACTATTTAATAAATTATCTGGTAACCATCTACAAGTCTTCAGTATTAGCTATTAATGAAATAATGAGTCCTACGAAATACGAAGAATTTAAACGTAGTGGAATGATCCTCACTCATTGCTAAATTCCAACTTATGCGGTCTAACTTTAGAATTTCAGTACACCTAGTAAGCGTGCTATTCACAGGTAACTGTTTTATTTTAAGCCTAGAATGGAATCGATAGTTACCAGAAGGGTTGCAACTTTACTGTTTTGCTTAAGTCGAGTGAGGTTGTCTATACTGGAGAGGATTTGTGATTTTGGGGAAGTAAATTCATAGTAGCAGGATCATAGTTAAGTAATCGGTAGTTAATTAATTACGTGGCAATATGCAACTTGGATTACAGCTATACAATAAAGTATTAGATTAAACTAACTATTCGTAGTGGCTTCCTGTATATGTTCAGTCATTGATTTGCTTGTTTGCAGAGTTGATAGGCATCATGATCATCATAAGTCATTTAGTGGCGAATGTTAGTAGCTTAAGTTTATTATGGAATTTGTAATTTATAACTTCCTAAGTTGTACACTAGGAGATTTGCGACTGCTTTTGATTATACGCATATTTTACAATTTTAGATAATCTGGCCTGCAATTTTAGCAGAATTAACTATATTATGGTACGTGTACTCGTAAATTCCTGAATGATAGATCTCGGAACAATTATTCAAATAATAAATTATCCAACTAAAACGTATCTGTAGATTTTTACAACAATTTGATTGATTCTGTAGTGCCATTAACCAGAACATATCGATTTAATATGCATTCCAATTTAAAACAATAAATTTATTTTACGTAAAACCTAATTAACGTCTATTTTACCTTTTGCTTTCGAGTGTTGTTTGCAAAATTATACCTCGCATTTAAATATAGTACACTACAAAGCCCTTTATGCAGCATAAGGCAAAAATTTTATTGAAGGTATACATAGTCAATTTGTATAGTATTATTTCATGAAAGATTTCGTAATATTCAGATTCGAGGTATCAGTAATACGTACATAATTAGAATCATCTAAATCCTCATTCTGATGTTATTACCACATTTCCATACAACCGAAATTTAGTTTCGCATCAGTCGTTACTCGCTAATATAGCAACTTTGGTCTTTGCAGAAGCGAAAGACTGATCGATGTTATTTACAAAGAATTTTACGATTGTATGATACTGAGAGTAATCACTAATATCTTCTTCACCGCATAGATAAGTAAGTATAGTGTACAATAAATCGTACGATAAGTTAACAATATCGAATAAGTAAATATAAAATTAGTATTGACTAAGTCATACATCAAACCGCCGGTAGAGGTGATAGAATAGTGTAGCAGTTTGTCGGTTAACAGTCTAGCAAATATTATAATAGTTCAGCATTAGTTTAATGCAGTTACGAAATATGAATAATGGTTCATACTACCATCCATTGTAGTTATGATTGAAGATAGGATAATATGGTTATCCTTGATACGTATGACTAATAGTGGATATAAAGAGAAGCTAATAAGAGAGAATATTGGTTAAATTACACTCATTGAGAGTCTGATCAGTAGTTGGAGTATTTTGATTATCCGATTTTCGACTGACACGCTTATAAATAGCATTGCGAATTTCATTATCAAATGCAATATAGATAAAAGGTAAAACTATAGGATAGCAAAAGGCCAAGAAACGAAAACTCGGATAAACTGTCATGACCGCATTGTATAACGGCTTAATATAAGACAGACCTAATGTGATTAAGAAAGGCCCCAAAAATATAAGGTATAAACTAAAAACACAAAGAGCCTGCCGCACTGCTTTACGCTTATTTATAAATTTACTAATCCTATCTTTGATAGTTATGTCCGTCATGGATGATCTAAGCGCAGTTTTTTTCATATGATAATCTATCACCGCTAATATTCGGTAATAAACTGCACACAAGAACAGCAATACAAACAAGGAAATCGTCAAGATTATTAAGCTATACGTTAGCTCAATATCGTTGGTGATGATAAACTGTTGGCTACAGTTTAGCGTATGGTTATGCTCTATTTGTAGGCGATCAACATTAATCGCTGATATAAATACCAGCAATAGTGAGCATAACCATAGGATTGTGCAGATACTTAATACGTTCCTTCTTGTAACAATTTCAATCGCTCTAAATGGCCGATTAATTTGGATACTACGTATCATAGCTAAGAAACATATATGCAAAGCCATATTCAGAAATAACGATTGACCAATACGCGGCAGGAGGATACACCAATTAGGGATTTCAAGTTGTAAAGGTCTGTTGGAATAGTATGGCAGGACGTAGGCCACTGCAAAGGCAATATCATTAATTAACAGACTATATAACGCGATGTAAGGTGGTCTCCGTAGTGAGCGTTGAGATAGGAGGAAAGCTAAGATTACACTATTGGTTATTAATGTCAGAGCTCCAATAATAATCCAGACTATATTGCTAGCTGATACTTGATTATTGTCACTCATGTTGTAGCTGTAGTAAGAGTTCTAGATGGCTGGAATATTGTAGGAAAGGCTATATTAGTTTATTCGAATGACGCCCGTTGAAGAAATAATAATTCTCTCGAAATATTGATCAATTAACGGCTAAAATGTAATTAACTAGTTCAATTCGCTCCTTGTCAGTAAAGATAAATAGCTGCTAAATTATTAATGAAATTCTTCGTAATACTGGAGTGTATGTTGTTTCCTCTATTGAAATATTGTCTCTAAAGGCTTTAAGGCTTTATTTAATACGTATATAGACCCAATTGAATGCCTTGAATGATTTTTCAAACTAAAATTGGATATATGACTGCTAGGCAATTGATCTAAATCCTTTTTCGAACGGAGAATAAATATAATTATTTTTCTCGAGAGAGAAAGAATGGTTATAAAGCTTTAATGAATACGGATCTTGTCATTAAAATGGCCTTTTCCACTTTAATTTGCTCAACTATTGAATTGTTGATGGAAAAACAGCTCCTGAATTTTGCTTATAGTTGAAGGTCGTATGATAAATTCATGAGCCAAAGAAGAAACATAAATAGAGCTCTATCTTTTTCGTTTCAATTCGATGCGAAGAAGAGATTTTCGATCTTGCTTTAATCTTGCTCTGGCTTAATGCTCTCGTATAATCACAGTTGCCTTGATGCTATGAGTAGTCTATTTGATAGTAGGCTTGCCTACACAAATAATACAATAGTAAAAGATTGATGATGATAATTAATGAAAGATGAAAAAATTCTTTCTGTGGTTATTAATATGGCTTGAATAATTGATATGCAATCTTGAGTAAAAGATACAAAAAATCCAGTAAATTATTTTAAATCAATCTGACTGAAGAGGTATTACGTCGATTGAATATAGGAAATTATTGATTGAATCTAATTGTTTCTCAAATTTGAATAGAAATAGTGTTAAGATACTTAGTAAAAACTGATTAATTCTATGACATGGACTATTTCCAAGGATGGAACTAGTAATGCTCAAATTCTTGCTTCTAAAATACAGCTAAAGAAGAAATGTAATCGAAATTATTCAATAGCATAGATTAAATCTTCTATTGAATAATAATAACGGCAAGATTTTTGGTTAAATCTATTGATTTCGAAGGATCGGCTGTTCGAAAGGCTTGAGCTTTTTTATTTAGCTGGAAGACTTCAACGTGGTAACAGTGTTTTCGCTCGCAAGATGATTAATTGGATGTCTAAAATATCAATGCTTTTACTTCTAAGTTGATTTTCCTTCGAGGTAATCGATAATATTAAGCTGAAATAATGTCGATCTTTGATAATGAAAATAACTTAATCATAGTCTCAATGGCTTACTATAGATTTTAGCACCAATGATAGGGCGGAATATTCTTCAATCAGTAAAAATTGATTCCTTGGCTTGAAGAATGGCTGTTGCTAACTAAATCAAGAGATACCAATGTTAGTTGTACAATAGTTATAGCGAGTAATACAAATGCAAAGATTCTTTTTAACCTATGTGATATTGCTATAGCTAGCGTTTATAGCTGCTGCAAACTGAATTATAGAAGAGAGAAGCTTTAAATCAAACATTATACTTTTGTGTATGCCTTTACAGTTGTATTCTATAAAATGGATAAATTTAATGGTCATAAAATTTAATCTTGCTTATTCAGTATTGATGATAGAAACAATTCATTCATCCAGTCTATTTATTTGCCGTCATCGTTAGTCGAGAGTGGTTACCAATAATTTTTATCCTCGAACTAGTTAATCGATATGGTACCTAATTGCTTTCCTTTGAATTTACTTTATTACCGTTTACTTGCGCTGCTCTCATACAACACATTAATTTAGGGCAAATTATGCATAACCAAATGAATTTCATATTTCTTATATTTGTCATTAAAAATAAAACAAAAGAAAAAATTAATTACGTTGTGTCTGGCATTAATATTCACAAATTGTAAGCAGTAAATTGTGAAGAATTATACAGTTCCGTTCTTGGCACTTAACAGTTACAGCAAATGGTCAGGAAATCGATT